GAGCAGGAAGCCAGTCGGTGGTGAAATTGTAAGCCAATTACTCCTCCATGACATTCCCCATGCCTATAGCCTCCTCAAAATTCCCCATTCCCCATTCCTCATGTGAAACTTTGATACACTGATCTACTCAATGTTGCAGCATTTATATTCCAACAAACATGTTATACTAGTCCAAGTTGAAGTGCAAAAGAAACCCAGGAATGAATTAAATCTGCTCAATGTTGACCGAAACTATCAAGTTGCAGCCAAACTGATGAATGAGCCATCTCGCTGTTGTGCTACCTAGTACTAGTAAGTATGATGCAGAATAGATGTTGAGAATTTAATGGCCGACAGACATCCCCTAACTGAAGCTGAATGAATGGTCCCAAGAAATCGCGATGGGGCCTGAACCTGAACCTGAACCTGAACCTCGTCTGGACAACCCCTGACTGAACCTCAACTATCAAGTTGCGTGCTTTTCGCATGATTGGGAGTAGTAGAAGCGAGAAGTGGGGCGGGCAGGCTTACACGAGGATGTTGAGCGGGAGGCCCCTGGCGGCGAAGTCGGCGGCGAACTTGCGGACGGAGGCCAGGGAGGAGAGGTCCAGCTCCATCAGCTCGAGGCTGGCGCCGGGTGTGTCGGCGAGGACGGCCTGGCGCACGGTCTCCGCGGCGGCGAGGTTCCTGGCGGCCATGACGACGTGGGCCCCGCGCGCTGCCAGCACCCGCGCCGTCTCCGCGCCGATCCCGCTCGACGCCCCTGCCAGCCGATTCACCGAAATCGAATCAAATAGAATCAGGGAGAGAGCAGGCTGCGGCAAAGGACGGGTGGAGTAGGTACCGGTGACTATGGCGGTGAGCCCTGCGGCGGAGATGCCGGCGGTGACGTGGTCGGCGGTGGACTCCCAGGAGAAGCCCGAGGCGCCCTTGCGGCTGAAGATCCAAGGCAGCATCTTTTCTTCTCTTCTCTTCTCTTCTCCGACGAATGGATTCCACCGACGACGAGGCGGAGGCGACGGAGAAGAATTCCAAGAAGAGGAAGGAAGGAGTCCACCGCTGCAGTCAGTCTTGTGTGCAACAACAACACAATGCAGGTGGGGCCCACACGCCAGCCCTGGTCACGCAATTTCCACGCAAGTTCCATCCTACTATTTCTTTTCTTTTTCTTTGATTTGATGAGGGAAATTCCATCCTATTTTCCACCAATGTTTTAAATAGCGGGCTATGAAAAATTAGCGGCAAGCCTTCAAATCAGCTAGCGTAGCTATATCGGGCTATTTATGAAGGCGACCATTTAGCGGCACCCTGCTGAAAAGGTTATAGCAGGTTATAGCTAGCTTTTTAAAACTATTTTTTCCATTATATATTATATGAAAAAAGAGCTGCTCCTTTTACCCACATGAAATAAAAACCAGACATGTCTGATTTTTATCTTACCGACACATACATATCGGTCGAGGAAATACATGTATACCATAATAACGAGTATTCTTTTCATTTGAGTGCAATGGGATGATTTTAAGAAAAAGGGGTTTCTCCCCGATTTATATTATACATAAAGCAAACAGTCGATACATCCAGCTTGCTGGGGCCGCAGCACATAAAAGACCAAAAGAAAAACAAGAAGAAAAAAGAGAAATAAATGCTGACACCGGGCAGATCAACGAAGAAAGGAAGACCGGCAACCGCTGCACCCTCCGAAGAAGTACCACCATGCTTCCAGCATCCCGAAGCGCCGCGCACCAAGCAACACCTTTAAAAAGGAATGCGACAATGCCGTCGCTGTTGCCCGAACAAGTTCTAGGGTTTCCCCGGTACGCGAGGGATAGTGGGGAAGGGATATACCCGATGCCCCTCAGGAAGGTCCGACGGCACCTGCAGGCGTCATCGCATCGGTGTCGACAGGACGACAAGGATTTCTCCTGATCCACAACCACCACCACCACTCCAGACACTTCGTAGTGCACCACCCACACAGCCGCCCACCAACATGTGCCACCACGGTTACTGGACCATCCTCGCCGTCTCTCTAGAGCTGCCAACACGAGGCCTGGAGAGGGAAAGGAGACAACGGCCACGAAAGCGAGCACTACTCGACCGGTGGGAGGGAACAACCTCCATCGCAAGAGCGAAGCCGACCGGACGCGGCGACAAGGACTTGCCGGGCCCTACGGCCCGGCCGGGCCCACATGGACCCGGACAGTCCCTGTCACCGCGCTGCAACACGCCGACCAACGAAGTACACGCTGCCCGTAGACCGTCGCCGCCTCGCCACTGCCACCGGCCCGACCCAACCCAGACGGGGCCCAAACGGGCCCAGATCTAGGCTCGGTGGGCGCTACCGGCCAACAATGCCACCGTGCCACCCCACAGCCAACGGCCGTGCCGCCGCGTCGAGGGCCACCGTGGCAAGCA